TATCTCAGCTGTTTTGGGTGGCTCTCTGTTTCCAATTGAGTTTATTGTTGACTGTGTGTCCGAAAGTATCACCGCTTTGGTGAATTTCGTATCCAGGCAACATAATTGGCATAGTGCTATCCTAATGGCCTCTATTTATAATAATGGCATTAGTTATTACCAATACTGCCGTGTACAATTCACCGCTCTGCCATGAATGTTTAAGTTGCCAAAATGTATGCCTACGTTGTTAGTTCATACGGAGAGAATAGCCACCTTTCAAACCAACAACATGAGAAAGGGTATAATTATATGCGATGCAGGGAGCCTCAAGTATTTCCCATTCAATTTCGAAGGATCTGATAATTAGAAGGCTAATTATCGCGCATTTAAATATCACCAATTTTCCTCTTTGATTTACTTAGTTGAACGAATTCTAAAGTTCACATCGGCTGAAGCCAATTGATCATAAATGAAGGAAATGGAATTAAGATGAATTAAATTAAAAAGGTTAATTATTCGCGTACATTTTAAGCAGGTTATTGGTTCATAAATTTTATTTCATGAATTCATTTGTTTCGAAAGCATTATAACTGAGTGAAATAACTAAAATTCTGTAGAAATTAACGTTTTATCTCTTTTACACGCCAGTTTTAAATTTTGGGTGCCGATTAATAGATAAAGGCTATAAGGCTTTAAATATTAATTGGAGGTAAAATACTAATTCCCTTCAACCTTGTTTATTAATGAAATGTGGTCATCAAATAATAGTTAAGATAGAATATTTCAACATTTTATATGCTCAAATCATTTATTTTTCGAGGATATTTAGAGATCATCTTAAGCAAGGAATAAATTTATAGTTATTATGAAGTGTTTCATTATAGGTACTTCGGGACTTTTCACTGACAATAAACCCAGGCGAGACAGTGGCTATAGTTGGTCCAAGTGGTTCAGGAAAAAGTACGACGGTCCAGCTGCTTCAACGGTTCTACGATACTGTGCAAGGAGGTGTAAGTTTATGAATTTAGAGAATAAATTTAAGCTCTAAATGATAGGTTACTCAAACCTTCACAATAACTCTTTTTCCTACTCTTATTTGTAATAAATTTGCCTTGTATCGCTTAGGCTCAATGAGATTTATTTTGCAGATTCTTCTAGACGGTGTTGACATTCGAGAGTTGAAAGTTTCCTGGCTGCGTAGCCAACTAGGTGTTGTGTCACAGGAGCCAAATCTCTTTGCTGGAACAGTGACGGAAAATATTCAGCTTGGGAACCCAGATGCTGACTTCAATGAGATCGAAAGGGCGGCTAAGCAAGCGGATGCACATAATTTCATTCTTTCTCTTCCGGATGTAAGGAACATGATTTTTATAATTATTAATTATCAGTAGAGAAGTGTTGGATAGAGTTGTTGCCATTGGCAATTACCCTGGGTTCTGATAAAAACTAATATTCCTCATAATCGTATTATCCATATTGTGCATCATTACTCCTTAGTCGTGCTGATTGACAGACAATGGTCTAAGAAAATAATAGTAAAAATTCATCATTGTCAAACACAATTCTGTTACAATCAGTCGTTAAACTAGCATAAGAGAGGTCATGCAGATACCGTTTTCACCTGTGTGATTCTGCATTTTTTTCACATTCTTATCTAGAAATATCAGTGACACATTTGCTTTTATTTTTCAATGCGCAGTATTATTGAAGCTCTTGGCATCACTGCAAGCAAATATATTTATTCTAACGTTTTATTTTCATGCAAAGAAATTAGTTTTAGTAAAAAGTACGATACGTTTTAGTAAGGGTAATAAATGGCCAACAGATGCAGAGTAGAGACAATGCCCAACTTTTGAGACAATACACTAATGATCTCTGGGGTAT